CGGGGCTCAAACTCACAGACCGCGAGATCGTGACCTGGCTGAAGTCGGACGCTTAACCGACTGCGCCACCCAGGCGCCCCTACATTTTATTTATTTTTGAGAGAGAGACAGAGCACAAGCAGGGGAGGGGCAGAGAGAGAGGGAGACACAGAATCTGAAACGGGCTCCAGGCTCTGAGCTGTCAGCGCAGAGCCCAACACCGGGCTCAAACTCACAAACTGTGAGATCATGACCTGAGCCGAAGCTGGACGCACCACCCAGGTGCCCCGAAAGTTTTCATTTTAAAAACAGACACTAGAAGCAGACCCACAGATAAACCAGACATTGGCATTATCAAACACACAATATTAAAGAGTAACTGTATCTGTGTCTGAGAAGCTTACTAGAAAACTATAATTTATATTTTGAAAATAAATAACAAAGGAAAATTATAGACTAGAATTTTTTTCATGAACATGGAAGAAATCTGAACAAAATATTAACAAAGCAAATACAGCAATGAATAAGAAAAAATATAACTAAATTGGGTTTATTCCAGGAATGTAAGTGTGGTTTAACATTTTCAAATAAATCATGTAATTTACCACATTGACAAAATAAAAGAAGAAAAAGTATTATCTCAATAGTCGCACAAAAGCCTTTTGACAGAATTCAACATCTATTTATGATAAGAACTCAGCAAGCAAAAAATAGAAGGGAACTGCCTGAATCTGACAAAGTATATGTATAAAAAAGCTACAGCAAACATACTCAATGATGAGATACTGAAAGCAGGGAAGGTGCTCATTATCCCTACTCTGCAGTGTCTTACTGGAGATTGTAGCCAGTGCAGTAAGTCTAGAAAGATTAAAGAAGAAATAAAAGGCATAAGAACTGGACAGGAAAATGAAAATTTTATTATTTGCAGAGAGCATAAATATGTACCTAGAAAATCTAAAAGAATGCACAGAGAAGTTGTTAACTGAATGGATAATTTAGGAAGGTCACTGGAGATGGTGTACAATGTCAGCAACGATTATAGAGGGAAGGAAAATTTTGAAGGATGTAATTTACAGCATTGTTAAGAAAACATCAAATCCAGTATCATTATTTATTGCTGTGTAACCAGCCACCCCAAAACTTAGTGGTTTAAAACAGTCATTTTATTCACAATTCTGTGGGCTGGACTCTGTTGAATGCTGGCTTCTGCTGGACTGACCTGTGGTTACTCATCTGGCAGTCAGCTGAGACGGACTCGTATACGATGACCTTACTTATGTGTTAGGCGTTAGGTCTTGGCTGTCAACAGAACCTCCTTCCACATGGTCTCTCAGCTTCTTCACGTGGTGGAAGTATCAAAAGGGCAGAGCAGAAACTCCCAAGATCTCTTGAAGCCTGGGCTCAGAGGTCACACAGTGTTACCTCTGCTGCATCTTATTGACTGAAGCAACTTACAAGGTCAATGCAAATGAAGTCGTCTCCACTACTGTTACAAGATGTAAAGAATATATGGCCATTTTTAAAGTAATCTCTATACCCAGTGTGGGGCTAGAACTTACAACCCTGAGATCAAGAGTTATGTACGCTCTACCAACTGAGCCAGCCAGGTGCCCCTGGCCATTTTTAATCTATCACAGATACCTAGGAGTAAATCCAGCAAAGGTTATATGCAAGACCTCTGTATGGAAAACAATGGAATGTTATTAAGAGAAAAGTGAACTAAATAGATAAGGGGACATACCACATTAATACACTGGAAGACTCCATACTGTGAAGCTGTCTTTTCTTCTCAAATTGATCTATAGATTCAGTAAGATCTTAATGAAAAATTTAACAACTTTTTATGGCAGATTGACAAGCTGATTCTAAAATTTATTTGGAAATGAAAAGTGCAAAGAATAACCAAGATGATCCTAAAAACAAAGTTGGAGAGCTTATACTCTCAGATTTCAAAACTCATTACAAAAGTATAGTAATTAAGACAGGGTGGTATTGGCAGAAGGCAGGACAAAATGAAACAGAATTGAGAAACAGATACGTAAATATGGCTAGTCACCTTGTGACAAAGTTTACACGGTACTGCAGTAGGAGAGAGGGTGATCATTTCAGTAAATATTACTTAGGCAAGTAGATATCCATCTGGAAAAAAAATGGATCTTGATTTCTGCTTCACACCATATAAAAAAAATCAAGTCCAAGTAGATTATAGATGTAAATGTGAAAAGTTAAGCAATAAAATTTTTTTAGGTACACACAGGGAATATCTTTATGACCTTGGTGTAGATAATAATTTCTTACTGAGGAAACAGAAAACCCTTACCATAAAGGAAAAGATTGGTACATTGGATTTCATTAAAAAAGAATATCTGGGGGCACCTGGGTGGCTCAGTCGGTTAAGTGGCCGACTTCGGCTTGGGTCACGATTTCGCGGTCCGTGATTTGAGCCCCGCGTCGGGCTCTGTGCTGACAGCTCAGAGCCTGGAGCCTGTTTCAGATTCTGTGTCTCCCTCTCTCTGACCCTCCCCTGTTCGTGCTCTGTCTCTCTCTGTCTCAAAAATAAACGTTAAAAAAAATTAAAAAAAAATATCTGATCATCAAAGAACACCTTTCAAAGAATAATAAGTCACAGAATGGGAAAAGAATATTGTAATACATCTATTCACCGGGGACTTCTATACCGAATGTATAAGAAAAACTCCTACAAAGCAATAAGAAAAAAACAGACAGCCCACTACAAAAATGAGCAAAAGACTTGAGTAGGCACTTCACAAAAAAGGATATCCAGATGGCCAATATGTGTGTTAAAAGGTGCATTCTTCAACAGGAAAATGGAAATTAAAGCCACACTGAGAGGGGTGCGTGGGTGGCTCAGTGGGTTAAGCGTCTGACTTTGGCTCAGGTCATGACCTCATGGTTTCATGAGTTCGAGCCCCATGTTGGGCTCTGTGCTGGTAACTTGGAGACTTATTGGGATTCTCTCTCTCCCTCTCTCTGCCCCTCCCTCACTCACACTGTGTCTGTCTCTCTCAAGTAAGTAAGTAATATAAAACTAAAAAAACAAAAAACAAAACACACTGACATACCGTTACACACCTGTCAGAATATTTGTCTTTTAAAAGGCTGTCTATACCAAGTGTCAATGAGGGTGTAGAATAACAGGAAATTTCATAGGCTGCTGAAGGGAGCATAAACCAGTTCAGCTGCTGGGGACAGCTGTTTGACAGTGCTGTATATACTAGGGTCGAACGTGTATATTCTTTGTGACACAGCAGCTCCACTCCCAGGTATGTATTCAAGAAAAATGCATACAAATGTGCTCCCAAAGACGTGTCCATGAATGTTCATAGCAGCATTGTTCATAATAGCAAAAATTTGAAACAGCACAACTGTTCATCAACAGCAATGGTTTAATAAATTGTGTTTTATTTATATATTGGCATACTGTGTAACAATGAAAATTAAGCAACTGCAGCTGTATATAACAACCTAGTGACTCTCACAAACTTAACGGTGACTATAAGAAGCCACCGTATGAAGCTAAGAATATTCATTTCTATGTGATATATGTTACTTTGGGTGACATGTATATTTTTTGTCCTAATATTTTACTTTTATAATTACAGGGAAAATCCTTATTTATGAATATCAAAACCTTGACTCTCATTGGAAAATTGATATGACTTGTAGTTTTCACAGAATCCAAAATTATAGTGCCCTGGAAGGCCATCAAATGGCTAAAGTATGTCATTTTCTTTCTTCCCTAACTAGGCCTTAAAAAGCACGTTGGGATTTCCACTGATTCGGTTTGAGGATGCTGTGATTAATCTGGATCCATTTACTCGGGTACATCCCTATGAGACCAAGGAGTTCATCATCAATGATATCCTCAAACATTTCCAGGAGGTGAGCTTTGGAGAAATACTTAGTGGCTGGAGCACAAGCAGAATGTTTGTTTTGGTTGTTTGGGAATTTTGGTTACTAAGACATTAGTGTCGAGAACCCAGTTAAACATTTGCTGTTAGGGGTCAGGTCACAGCCCGCGAAGCCCATACACATCATGAAAATCCTCAAACAGTGTATTTAATTTACAAGCTGCTGGTCTTGTCCCTCAGAGAACTGATCTCGGGGGCTTCCACTGGATTCGTAACAACTCTTAAGGGTTTAATTGATGCTTTGATGGTGACAAAATATTGTGACCTCTCTATTTACTGGACATGGAGCAACTTTTGACAACCACATCAGTGTTCTTGGAGCCTGTGAGATCCTGCCCTAGCGTTGAACTTCAATTTTTCTTTTTATCAAGTTGGACATTTTCTGTTTTGTATTTATTATCCAGATTCTTCGATAGATAGGTCAAGATCATATCAAATTTATTAACTGTCTAAGTTAAAATTCTATTCCTGCTCCCTTTTCTCCCTCCTCCCTCCCGTGTCCCTCCTTTCCTTCTTGGCTTCCTTCCTCAACTTTCCTAATTGGTGATGTTTCCACTAAACTGCAAGGCGAGTGACAGAGCAGATATCACTGGAACCTGGAGGCAGAAAGTAGAGGGTTGCTGGCTAGATCTGAAACATGCCTTCTTTATGCACCACCCCCTGCCGATTATAGGGGGCGCTACCAATATACTCTCCTCCCTCATTTTCCTTCTAAAACTCTCCCTGCTGCTGCTGCTGAGTTCCCTATTTGTAGAAACATCAGAATGTGATGTATATACTAACACATGTTTGTAAAGAGTCTTTCCTGTTTGAGAGCTTTTATTTATTCTTCGGAATAGCTTCGAGGCGTATTTCTGAGTCCTGGAAGTAATCTCTGGGATACATGCGTTGGGAGAGCTTAGGTGGAGTTCATGAAAGCCTAGGAACTTGCAGTTGATGAGAATTCAGAGGTCATTGTGGTGTTGATGAGAATGGGGGACAAGACCGATTTCTAACCTTTTTGCTTGGGACATTCTACCTGCAAGTATCAACAGGTGCTGGTTTTCATCTTGTCTTTCTGCTCCATTTGACAGGAACTCCTCAGCCAGGCAGCTCGGATCCTGGGATCAGTGGACTTTCTCGGCAATCCCATGGGGCTTTTGAATGATGTTTCCGAAGGGGTTACTGGACTGATAAAGTATGGAAATGTCGGGGGCCTTATCAGAAATGTCACACATGGCGTATCAAACTCTGCTGCCAAGGTAAGGAATTAAAGGTGAAATTCCATCATCATTAACCTCATGGGGTCTCTGCGCTACCGTGATTCCTGCCATAGCTGATAAGCTGTGAGAAGTTACGGCCTTTGCTTCGTTACCTGCCTCCCCTCCCCTCTGATGACCGGGCACCAGGTCCGCTGAGCCGTCTACAGTGTCTCATCTTCTGTCCATCACCACTGCCTTCCCGGGCTCCGGTTGTCTCTTCCCTGGGCCACTGCACTGGCCGCCTGATCCCCTGGACTCCACCGCAGCCTGCACGGTGCCACCAGAATGAACTTGCTTTTTAAAGCCTAGGATTTGAGGGGCGCCTGGGTTGCTCAGTCACTTAAGTGTTGGACTCTTTCTTGGTTTTGGCTCAGGTCATGATCTCACAGTTCATGAGATCAAGCTCCGTGTCGGGCTCTGTGCTGGCAACAGGGAGCCTGCCTGGGATTCTTTCTCCTCCTCTCTCTCTGCCCCTCCTCTGCTTGTGTGCTTATTCTCTCTCTCTCTCTCTCAAAATAAATAAACTTAAAAATTAAAACATAGGATTTGATGAGGTACCTGGATGGCTCAGTCACTTAAGTGACCTTCGGCTCAGGTCATGATCTCACTGTTTGTGAGTTCGAGTCCTGCGTCGGGCTCTGTGCTGACAGCTCGGAGCCTGGAGCCTGTTTCAGATTCTGTGTCTCCCTCTCTCTCTGCCCCTCCCCCGTTCACGCTCTGTCTCTCTGTCTCTCAAAACCTTATAAATAAATGTTAAAAAAAATTTTTTTAAGAACAAAAATAGAATTTGATGGTGCAGTTCTCCTGCCTAAAATCTACCAGTTACTTCCCACAGGTTGTAGGATAAAGTCCAAACTAAAACAGGCTTCCAGAGCAGCAGAAGGAAGCACAGTGGTGTAATCCTCCTGCATCCTTCTGTCTGGTTGACTTGTTCACCGGCTCCTTGTTTAGGGGACGTTTTGTTATTCCGCAGTTTATTTTTTGGCAGGAGCTGATTTTACGTGTGAAGGTGGGAAAGGGGAAGGTAGTTGGAGGGGAACTGCTGTTTGACGACATGTGGAAGGCCTCTGCTTCCCTTCCCTTCGTGTCAGCCCACAGACTGTCCTCCTAGAGACTGACCTTTTCCTCAAGGAATCAGGTCTGAGAAAGCACCTGTGCTCTCAGCTTGTTTCCGGTAGAACGTGTGTTGTGGTGAAATCGCAGGTGCACCTGTGCCGTGGGCCACGAGGACGTAAAGCTGGCTTTAGCATAAAGAGGCTTTAATGTTGCCACACAGGAGGCTGTCTTGAGGGGCAGATGAGAAAGTGAGTTGAACAACACTTTGTACTGCATGGTGATCTTGGTAACAGTGTGAGAGCTGGGAATTTATTCCTGTTTTCTAAACTCTTTTCTAGAGATGATAGTTCTGTATTCAGATCAGTGTCCAGTACGGTAGTTCTACTAAACAGGTTCTGTTTGGCTTGTGGTTCAAGATAGTGCTGTTACTTTTATAGCAAGGGTGACAGAGAGGCAGGAGAGACATTGTTGTTGTTGTTGTTTTAATGTTTATTTTGAGAGGGAGAGAGAGGGTGAACAGGGAATGGGGGTGTACAGAAAAAGAGAGGGAGAGATTGAGAGAGAGAGAGAGAATATCCCAAGCAGGCTCTGTGCCATCAGTGCAGAACCCGAGGCGGGGCTCAACCTCATGTGCTGTGAGATCATGACCTGAGCTGAAATCAAGAGTCGATGCCTAACCAACTGAGCCACCCAGGCACCCTGGAGGAGAGACTTTCTTTTCTTTTTTTTTTTTT